GCATTTTTTTAATCATTATTTACTCAAAATCAATTTCTTATCCCGTAAGGTGATTTTAATAGCTTAGCCCCCATATGAAGACGTATCGATGAAGGAAATGTAAGATTTTATTTCTAGTATTGCAACTTAACAATTGTTCAATAAGAAACAATAGTAATGATGAACAATTGTTATTTTTTTACACCTACAATAAAACTATATTAAATGAATACTTTCACGGAAATAATTTTATGGTAAACAACATTGTCGTTATTAACCAACGCAACGTTGAATATGATTGGCCAGATTTAGACATTTTTTTCGTACTACAATAAATATATAATTTTAAGCATAATTGCGTAAAAATGAATCTTATCCCAGTCTCTAGAAAAATTGAAAATAAGGAGGTCTAACGAAAATGTGCCCTAGATATTTTGTGACTCCAACTATAATGATGACATTGTAATCAATAATTTAGTTAAATCGTTGAAGTGATTTTAAAAATCCGTAAATAATCACAAATAAAAAAAAATGTGGGAAAATAACCTAATAACCGCCATATTCGTGCGTTATAAATATTTTGTCCATTTTCCATGCGCATGTTAGAATGACCTTCTCACGACAATAAACATAAATCGTTAACAATAAAATGTCATCATGTGGGACTTGACGATATGAATGTATGTCAATAAGCTTTGTAAAAAGGAAAAATGAATAACCGGGTTATTTATACATTGATTTTGGAAAGAAAAATTTTACACCAAAAAAGGCATCATATGACTTTACGAGTATTCACCGCAATTTTTTTAAACGCACGGTCTTAATCTTTTTTTTTTTTTGAATGTGATTTCAATCGTATGACTAAAATTACTGTATCTATGTGCTTGGTTATTACCTTCGATAATCCAAAGGGTATTGCCATACTCTATTCTTATTCTACCCAACATTAACATATTGAATTCATTACCCGCAGTAAACGTTGTAATTTCCCTAGCGAAATTCCCTCAATAAAGTAGATAAGGAGTCTCGTGCGAAAATTCATCATCATGCATTAATGATTTTTTAATGGAAATCCTTTTACTTTGTAATTAGGTCGCACAAGGTTGTACAATAAGTTGAAAATCTTTGATTATATATTTTGGTCTGTGAAAAAAGAATGTAGTTAAAATTTCAATATAAAAAGAAGACAGAGATTTTAACCTTTCCGTCGTGTTGTTTTCATATACCTAAATACAAAAAAAAAAAAACTATATTATATTAAATTATGGCCGAGGATCCAGTGTGGGAAAGTTCGACGGTAGATACAATTAATCCGAATGTTTTTCGTCAACCTTTTAATGAACCTGACGGTCCTATTACTTGGAATCAAAATATTCAGAGGATTATTCACTGAGATTAATGCTCGTTGTATGAGTTCCAAGAATAAAAATCTCACTTCACACGATGACGTGAAAGATAATGCCGAATTTATTTACCAAAAATTGTCTCGTATGGAAATGCCTCCGGGAAGAACCTTGGTCTGAATATCAGATTGGACTGTTTAAAGGGAAAAAGGATAAGGATGGAATTTTTGAACAATTTAGATTGGGACCTACTCCGTCAGCAACTGATTACGGTAAAAAAATCAGGGATCCTCTGTATAAAATAGGGGAGGTACAAAAAGCCTTTAATAGATGAATTTTTCATTTTCATTTTCATGACTAATGATTTATCTGCATTTTATTTTTATTTTCTTATTTGCATTTTTAATTGTTTATTAATTTAAAATAAAGATGCATTGAAGTGACATTTTTTTCATTTAGTAAATTTTCAAATTACATCTTTTTAAAATGTTAAACGAAACTTTGTTGTTATATTGATTTTATCCTTTATGCGCAGTTTTGAGTCGGATTTTCTGCTGCCTTACAAGATTCCACACCATTCAAATGGGGATTTTATCTGGCGCTTCTCTCGCAGATTTGGGAAATTCCGCAAATTGTGCAAGCATACCAATTGATTGATGCCATAAAAATTAAAAAAAAAATCAATTATCATAATAATTTAAATTTTAAAAAAGTATATACATATGTACGTCAATATGATCAAACGCAATGATCGGTAAATCGAATTTTCAACCATCTTTAATGAAGTTCGATACCGTTACAAATGGTCTGAAAAAATCGTACCGCAAAGAAAACGATCTCGTAACTTAATGCGTGTCAGCCCTTTTTAACATGAACGTGTTCTATGTTATATTTGTTATTTTAGTTAAGTTTATTTTTAATAGAACCTTTTCTAACATCTCATTTACAAATATTTATAAAACTTCTGAGTTTTCCGTCCATGCTTTGAAATGAATATGCCTTATGATTTTCAGTAACTTTCTTTAATAAATTATATAAGGTAAAATTTATTATTCCATTTTAATAAATTATTTCTTTTTCACAGAATATTTTTACTATTACCCTTAACTCTTTTTTTTTCATTTTCGATATTATAACCTTATCCTTAACTCATTTTATTTCAAATTATAGTATCCTTAATTGATTGGATGGATCCCTTCAGTTTGAATCGAATTAGTTCAATTTGGTAAATATTCTTTAATTCTTTCCAGTTTTGAGGCAAAATGAATATAATTAAATATTATAAATATTATTATCAGTATATTACAAGATAAAACATTTTAAAAATAATAGATTGCAAATAATACTAAAATCTCGAAATTATCGATACTAAATATTGCATTCACGTTTGACCTATTATTTACATTGGAA